TACAATCAGTTGGCCGTTACAAGAACAGGACATCAATACGGTCGTCCAGTCAGCCACTGGAAAATCCGGGACAGATTTTCGCGGGGGAGTGTAACGTCCATTTTGTCAACAGCCATCACCCTTCGCCTGGACCCACATTATTGCCCTAATTCCCCTTGAATTCACTCTGTTTGAACGTTCCACGTATACCGCCCTGCATGACCCTTAGTCGTTTGTTTTCCATGCCCACCTTACATTGGTGACACCACCTGTCTCGCTACTTTCTTTGATGCATGCTCCACTTTATCGATCACTGCTTCGCACTTGTTCCATTTGCGTGTTACTATTGAGGTCAGGGTAGATCGGAGATTTTGTGGGGTGGACACACCACCCATCCGGCTGACATGTGCCCCTAACCTCAGGTCTTCATAATGTGTCCCCCATGGAACCTGCTTGATGTGATTGGACTAGTGGCTGTTGGTTTCTTGATTGGCTCACTGGTGCATGTCTCGCATGTCATGTAACCGCGCTGGGTCATTTTGCTGACTGGACGACCGTATTGATGTCCTGTTCTTGTAACGGCCAACTGATTGTACTTGTCTTTGTTTGAGGACATTGTTGAAGTATGTTGTCACTTTGATCTTTTACTCTTTGTATAATAGCACCGTAGTTCAGCATCGACTGTGGCTTTTTTGTTTCTCCGGTGCCTACACACCAACTCCGATCCTTGTCGCTCATTGATGCCCTGTCGGAGGCCGCGAATCGGTGCCCTACGCGTTGTCCAACTATCCTAAGCGATTTTTGAAGCTTACAACATCCATCCGACGCATATTCTACTAACAATGCGTACCGTTTGTTGAGTTACCAGCAGTATACCAGATGAGTACACAGAGTGAGATACCATGGGCTGATTTCGTATTGGTCACTCATGAACAGTAGCATTTAGGGATGTTTGCGCCCGTTGGTTGCAATTTACTAGCATTAACACCATCTTGAGAGATTTATATAGGAACATGATTTTCTTGAGGAGATCTTTGAAGGCATTATGGATGCGATAGGCTGAGAAATGGTCTGTATGTGCTTGTGCGGAGGCTGCGTTTGACGCATTGTGTGTGACGTCACTCTCGTACTCTGAGCTTGTCAGCGGCCACCAAACAAATATCCCATGCCTCGTAGAAGGTGAGTAGACAGCTTTGAGCCTTTCAACCACAAATTTGAGTAGGAAAGGGTATTTAAGGCAATTCTCAGGCATCCTACATTTTGTAAACGGCATAGGTGATAGCCCACTGAATATCTTCACCTAGGCACGAAAGTCGTTGTGGAGGAATTTCATAATCGCAGCGTTTCTTGGCACACGCTTTAATAATGGATACTACAACATGCCTGCACGAACAACTGACTCAAGGAAAACCTTCCGGTCAATGCGGATACCTTAGTGAGTTTGACTGTGCGTCACTATTCCTTAACTGGAAGTAAGCGTGGCTTTTACTGATTCGTCTTTCCGGAGTACCATTGAGTCGCCGCAGTATTGTGTCTCAATAAATCTCACACAACATCATATGCTCCATTCTCATCACAAGGGTGAATGTCAAGAACCGGGTGGTGCTTCGTCATTGCCCCGCATATTGTCGATCAGGGCGATCAGGCCAGCAGCGACGGACAGGGTTTGTCAGGTTTAGGCACGACGTTCTGCTTCAGCTCTTCGGCGTCAGGTGGCCTTATTCCAACGACTCGCCTAGGTCGGTGAGGATGCTGCAGTAAGGTTGATTAACATTTCCAAAATGCTCCGTCCAACTCTCGAGGCCTCATCGCTCCCGGTCAGTGTTAGGACACCGGA